TGCAAATAGGAGGGTGAGGGAACTCTTGCTGGAAAGCGACTGTGTCCTCAGGCGCCCTAGGGACTTTGAAGCCTCTGAGAATCCCAGCCACTTGTTTCCTTTGTGTTTGTTCTACATCGGGTTGATTTTGTTTCAGGGAGAATTTTTGTTACGCTCTTACCCTCCTCCAAAGAAATGCAGCCACACACCTCGAGATGACTGAGCGACCCACCAACCTGAGCTCCCAATGGCACAAATGATGAAAGTCCTAGGCACCCCCCCTCCTCTAATTAAGGGAATTTCATCAAGATGCAAAATAATTAGATTACAGGGCTGCCATCCAAGGCCACAGAGTCTGCCCTGAGAGCAGCACCAACGCTCAGAGCCTCCTCACACACACACCCCACCAAATGCTGTGCAGCCCACCACGGTCCTCAAAGCCCAACCCCAAGGAATCTGCAGAACATCAGTGCACCTCGGAAAACTCTGCAGTGACTTCATGTGATTTTTACCTTCCCTGGGAGAGAGTCACCCACAAACGCCCAAGACGAAGGCCAACATTCCGCCGGCCCCAGCCCCGTCCAAGGATGAATTTTGAAAAATCTCTGTTCTGGTTTAAATCGAGCTTTGTTTTATAAGCGATCCACGTATGCTGTTGCTTGTTTAGCGAATGAACCGATGACTGTTTTAATACGGAGAGTATGGAATTCTGCAGACGGTGGCTTTCATGTTCATTGGGCGCTGGATCCCTGGCACTCTGCTGGGTTTACAGAGTCAGGGGCTTTGAAGGGCTACGAGGAAGTGGGTGGGGGAGTGAGGGCTGCGCCCGAACCAGGCACCGGCAAGGTGTTTTCACATGTGCTCTGTCATTTAACCTCTCTGCTCCGTGAAGTGGAAGAGGGATCAGAGTGGATTTGGGGGGTCAGGGCCATGGATGAGCTGGAGAGTGTGGCATGAAGCTCCCGTAGTTTAGGTTGTGTCTGGCTGGGACAGACAGGGGTGACTGAAGCCGCAGGGTGGGTGGTGTGTTTATGGAGTGTGTAGGATGGCACAGAAAGCTTTCTTCCTGCCCTCGCTCCAGATGGACTTTGTATTACCACTGAGAACCCCCCCGATTGTTTTTCTCTGTTTCTCGGTCATTGTAACCCTGGAGACGCATTTTCTACTTGGACAAAGTGGTCTGGCCCAGGAAGCATTGTGTTACCTAACCTGGGGACACATGTGCTTTTCTGGGGCTGTAGACTTCCCTGCGCCTGGATTAAGCTTGGATTAACGTCCTCCAAAAGGATTCCCACCTGCCTAGCTTCGAGCCATCTAGTAGGCACCCTGCAAACCCCAAATAAGAGGACTGCTCAGAGAGGATGCAGGGCACTAAAGAGCCTCCAGATATATTTGAGGGTCTTTAATTTTTAAACTTTTAATTGCATAATAAATATTTGAATCTCTTCACATTTAAAATTTTTAGAATATTCTGGCCAGGCACTAGTGACTCACACCTGTAATTCTAGCTACTCAGGAGGCTGAGATCAGAACTGAGGGTCCAGGCCAGCCCAGGCAAAAAAAGTTCGCAAGACCCTGTCTCCTTAGAATATGCTGGACTTGGTGGCACGCACCAGTCATCCCATCCACTGTGGAAAGACTTAAATAGGAGAGCGTGGTCCCAGCCAGCCCTGCCAAAAAGCAAGACCTTATCCAAGCCAAAACCAGAGACCCTAACCAGAGCAAAAAGGACTGGAGGCACAGCTCAAGATGAAGAGCACCTGCCTAGCAAGCTCAAAGCCCTGAGTTTAAACCCCAATACTGCCAAAAAATAAATTAGAATACTTTTGATAACATGAAAATTCATTTTGGCCATCACTTCTAATTCCTGCTCCCTTGATAAATACACAAGTGCCCACAAATGTTACAGTGGCAGTTTTATGTGTTGCCAATAAATGGTAATATGTGATTTGTATTATCCAATCAGGGAGTTTTCCCACTCAATACATTTATTTATTTATTTATTTATTTATTTATTTACTTATTTATTTATTTATTTTGTCGGCACTGGGGTTTGAACCCAGGGCCTCACGCTTGCTAGGCAGGTGCTCTACCCCTTGAGACACTCTGCCAGCCCCGAATCCTTTCTTGGCACACTCATGTTAACGCCTGGAGCGCAAGATCATTTCTTTCCATTGAGACTTGGATTTCCATCCTGGGAGTAGACTTTTTTGTCTGGTCTCCTTTGATTAAATTGGCTCAGACTCTCTACAATTTTCTAACAATTCTGTAAGGACATCTTCTGGCATGTCCTCTCCTTCATGAGTGTGAGATTTTCTCTAGGCTAAATAACGAGAAGAGAAATTACTGAATATATTGCCTATTAATTTTAATTTTTTAACCCAAGAAATATCAGTGCATAGTTTTACATTCTTGGGGTTCTATGAAGGAAACATGAAGAACCTTGGTCCTCAGTGACCCTACACCCTTCCTTTCTGCCAAGAGACCACAGCTTTCAACTCGGGCTGACTTTTTTGGAACCTGCCTCCGAGTGTCTCAGTGACTGGCTTGTGTTGCTACCCCTTGGTATTTTTTCTGTTGTTGGCATGATCTCTGATTTGGTGAAATACATCGTAAGAATTTAGTTCTGGGGTGGGGATGTGGCCCAGAGGTTGAGCCCTTGCTTGACATGCACAAGGCACTCGGTTCCACCCCCAGCACCCCAGAAAAAGAGAAAGCACTTGGTTCTCTCTGCAGCCATCACACACCTGAATTCTTCCTCCAATACCAACGGATGACGACCTTGACTTTATTCGTGCATGGGCTTTGCATTTTATAACCTCGGATACTTTTCCCAGAAAAGCTGTTTCGCACGGTCATTCTGTTCCCTCCCTGTGCCAGCCCGGGAGATGACATTTTTCTGAAGAAGTCCCTTCGGCCTCGGGGCTGACCGGCTGGCAGCTGTCACTTGGTGTGCAGCACTCTGACAGCTGGGCATCCTGACCAGGGCCTGATGACATGCCTGGAAAGAATGCATGTTTGTGTGGAGATGAAATGGTTTGGGGACAAGGAAGCCATGGGGACACCCGAAACCTTCCCATCACACATCCCTTCCCAGGCTCCAAAGGTTTGTTTTCCTCATTTGCTGTCTGTCTTTCACCGAGTTCCCTGCCCGCCTCTCCTGGCCAGGACCCCAAGCACTGGGCTTTGGCTCCTGGAGCACTAATGAGGTGTTTTACCTAATGGCCATGTTTAAAAAGGTTTAAGCCGTTAATTTTTAGAAAAACCCAAACAGGAAAAGAAGCATATGGGGTAAGCGTCCAGGCCCTCCTCAGGCTCCAGATCCAGCCCTCTAGGTACTGCTTAGGACCACGTTTGCTCTGGGGCCAGATTACCTGGGTTCAAATCCCGCACTGGCCAGCTTATGTGGCCTTGGACGAGCTGCCTGGCCTCATGTACCTCAGTTTTCTCTTCCGCAAACCACAGACTGCCAGTGTTCACCTCAGGGACTTGGTGGGGATGAAATGAGGTAACACTCTAAAGCAGTACAGAGAAGGCACGGGATAGACACGGCGAACACCATGTCACATGACTTTTAAACCAGTGGTTCGTACCCGCCACACTGGAAATCAATTGGGAAGTTTCAACTTCCTGGTGGGTGGACCCACCCTCAGTGAGTCTGATTTTGCCAGTCTGGGGTGTAGCCTGGACATCTGGATTTTTAAATGCTTCTCAGAGTGTCACAGTGTGCAGCCAGGGCTGGAAACCTGTGTGCCACCTACTTCCCCCTTGTATCAGTTAGGATGGCCGAGGGTGTGTGCTGCAGTAACGAGCATCCCCCAGTCTCTGCTTCTCAGTCTACTTTTCCCTATGGTACAAACCCATTGTCAGCTGAAGGTCTGGTCCACGGCACCTTTCCCCGGAAACCCAAGCTAACGGGGTGGCTTTTACTTACAACGCAGACAGTCCTGTGATAAGTGGGGACCTCCTTGCACTGACTTCGAAGGCCTCTAACCAGACGGGAAATGTCACTCCTGCCTACATACTACTGGCCAAAACCGGTCACATGGTCACACCTGGGCTTAAGAGGGAGCCTGAAGCAGGGGCTGGCGGTCCTTTTCTGCCAAGTGCCAAGTAGCAAATCTTTAGGCTTCGTGGGGTTATGTGGCCTATGTCACTCCTACTTTCCTCCACCATCACACACAAAAATACACTGCTTTAAGAAAATGTAGAAATCCACCTAATTCGTGAGCCACACAGAAACAGATTGGCCAGGTTTGGCCTGGGGGAGGAACATAGTTTGTGGTCCCCTGACATGTTGCACTCTCCTTCAGGAAGAACACGCTCATGGAGAGACCTCAAATATGGGTGGCCAGCCATGCAGTCGGCCACGAGGTACATACGGGAGAGACCGAGGTGACTTACTGCACCGTGTGTTTCACGTGTAACCGCGCAGTGCGGCTTGCTTTTCTTACTTCACACTGTGCGTTCTTGATGTCTGTAGCTCTAGCCTGACTTCACTTCATAACAGTGGCATATTTTCTCTGGCATGGGTGCCCTTGGTGGGTTTGCTTTTATAAGCAATCTGATGTTAGCCAACAGCGATTTTTAAACCAGCAGGAGGAGAAAGGCAGCATCCACACAGAGAGGCGGTTGGAGAGGCAGGCTCACATCTGGGCTCTCTGAGCAGTTTATCCGTAGTCTACACTGCCTTCCCTGGAATCTCCCTCAGAACCAGGGAGCCCATGAAAACAGTCTCCAAGATTCTCCCCAACCCCTGCCAAGCGTTCTGTAAGGAGCGTCCCTGCACCACTGAACCCTACCGTGTCCTTGCGCTGAGAGGGACATTTTGGGGCAATTTGGATTTGAAAAAAGCCCATGGGAATGGCGAAGGACTGGCAGCTAGAAGCTGTGTGCCATTCCCACCCAGACCTCACACAGGGCCATGGTCACAGCCACAGGGGAGTGGGGCAGGGGAGGAGACAGGAGGCTGAGATCGGGAGGCCACGCTTGCAAGGGATTGTCCCTTCTGTTTCCCGCAGGACACCACGACGTCCGTGCGCATCGGCCTGATGATGGAGGAGATGGTCTTCAACCTGGCAGACACCCACCTGTTCTTCAACGACCTGGAGGTTCGCAAGGGCCGGGCTTAATCACCTGCACCTAGTTTTGGGGAGGACGCTGCTTTCCTTTCCTTCTTCCTCTTTTTAAAATGTCTTTTTCTCTTAGAGGCTTGAAACTTACGCTAGCAGCCCCTGAAAGGTTCGGATCTGAGGCTGGCCATGGTTACCGGAAACACACCGCGCTGGCTTCTCCCCGGCCTTCCTGGGCAGCTGACAGGCTTTTCTCTCCAACCTGGGCATGTCCACTGGCGCGCTGGCTAATCCAATGAAGGCGCTGTTGTTTCCTCCTCCTGAAATTCGCTGTTTAATAAGTTTATTAAGGCAAATTAGCGCAGATCCTCCTGGGTCAGCAATAATTAGCAGTGGGCCAGGATGGAGGCTTTTTACAACAATTTACCTTCCCCTGGAAGCCTGTTTTACAAAGACAGAGCGTGAGTGTGAGCACAGGGAATACTTTTATTTAGTGTAGCAGCTCTCAAGCCCCTAGGCAAGATGCAAGGGAGGTAGGAAAAGGGGGAGAGTAGCTTCGGAAATGAATTTAACTCACTTGTTTATACCCAGTCTATGTCACAAAGATTTGGGAAGGACTTCAAATGGAAAACATATTTAAAGTAAAGCTATTAAAACAAAGGCAAGGTGGTGAAAATCTGTACAATGAATGAGGATAGCAAAAAAAACCCAGACTCAGGATGACTACTGCAGTCAGGCGTAGAGTTGACCTCTGAGCTCCCTGGTAGCCAATGCAAGGAGGCAAACATGTTCTACTAACCCTCTAATGAAAACACAGGCAGCTTTGTCAGCTGAAGAAGGACTTGGGGATGATAAAAGGATTATGATGGGGCTCTTCTGACTGAGTGACAATCACACTATTAGTACAGTGATAAATAGGCAAGCCTACAATGAAACTGAACGAGAAAGAACAATTGTATTCATCCTACCGGAAATTTTTTTCTCCCAGAATCTGGAAACTCACTGAGGACTGAAGTATGAAATTGAAACTTACAGGCCACGAGTTCCAAACCGGTCCTGGCTGATCCAGGATGTCACTAACATTGATCATCGGGAGAGGTTGCAGGGTTTCTGTCTGGTCTGGCTGGCTAGAGAGGAGACTTGGTGTGGCACACAGTTCTGTGTCCTGTCCACTCTACACAAGCCGCTCGGACCCTGGGCTGTGCGTCTACAGAAGGAGGCGATGGCTCGGCCCTGTCTGTTTCGGGCAGAGGCTCTAAGGAGGAGCTTGCTGAGGAAGACGGCTTTGGAGCAGTGGAGAACGCCTCTGGCAGCAAGCCCAGCGCTGTTTCTTTACCCAAAAGCTACATGCAGCCACCCTTGACAATGACCTTGCAACTTAGGGGAAAAAGAGCCTGAGAGAAAACTTAAGCACTTAAAAAAAAAGATCATTGAATTCCGCAAGCAATTGTGGAGCCCAGTGCAGTAAAACCAAGCTGATTACAAATATGAAAACCCACGTTACTTCGGGGGAAATTGGGGGTGAGGGCGATTGGCCATGTAAGCCAAAAGTCCAGGCTAGATTTTATTTGGGTCTGTCTCCCCCATTGGTCCCAGCTCCACAGGAGCAGGGTCCACTCTGAGTGTCCCTAAGTCCCCAGGGCCCAGGCAGGAAAAATCCAATCAAATTTATTAACAAGACAGTTTGTGACCATGAAAGGGATGTCAAGATAAAAACCAGTTAGTCACCTTGAGAGTGAGTGAGCGATGGCAGGAGGGCAGTTTCCTGGAGGGGGTCGGGAAGGCTGTCCTAAGGAAATGACTCTTCGGTGACAGGAGCCGGCCAGTGGCGATCAGGGGAGTGAACGGCAAGTGCCAAGGCCCTGGGGTGAGAAATGAGAAGTAGTCTGAGGTCAGGAAATGCAATGAACATCACTGACAGCAAGGAAGAACAGCCTGAAGGGGCGACGTCCAGAAACCAGACTTGATTCTAAGTGCTAAGCACAGCCAAGGGCCTGGGGCACACCGTGTGGAGCAGCCTTGTGATCTGGCTTGCACTGGGGAGGGGTGACAGGAGGGAAAGGAGGATGCTGGGAGACCAGCAAAGAGGTTCCTGAAGTTGTCCAAGCCAGAGAAGAGTGAGCAGGAGCTGACCACGAGGAAGTGCGGGTTTCAGGAGCGGTGAGGCCAAGGTGACTTGCAATGACTGGACATGGGCTGGGGCGAGGCTCTCCAGGAGGTGGCACCTAAACTTTGCTGAGCCGAGCCGGCAGGGAGGCAAGGGCACACAGCAAGTCGTCCCCCTGTGGGCTCATCTGACAATCCAGCAAAGACCCCCAGTCACAGGCAGGTGTGAGAGGGATGCACTGTGCAGTGCCAACGCCAGACCTGTGCAGAGGCAGAGCCAGGGACTCCGGGGCATCAGCTCAGACCGATGTCTTCAGAGGTCCCCACACAAAACTCCCATCTCTCGCTGGCTCCAAAGTCCAAGTCCTAACTCCCAGCTAGAGCTACTCAGGGAAGTCAGTTTGTTTTTCTTCTCTAAAATTTTTTCAAACCTCTCCCCAGTGCCAGGAGTCCCGGGGCAGCTCAGGACTGAACCCCGTTCACACGGAGTTGTTGAAATTCACGGAAGTGGAGACATTGTTGGAGGTGGGGGGGTGCAGGCAGCCCCAAGGCCCCCAGTGAGGCCTGTGGCCAGGGCTGTGGCCTATAGGAGGTGGCTCCAGGTGGCCCCGCCCAGTGGATGCCCTCTGCAAACAGGGACCCAGCCCCTGCATCCAGCAGGTCCTTCTGCAGAGCTCAGCTGGACCTCCACTTGGTGCTCTGGACTCAGCTGTCCGCAGAACGTGGTGAGAACCACGTCCTTGAGATATTAACTGAATTTCAGCTCCACACAGGGCTCTGAAGAGCCCGGAAGAGGCAGGGAGGGGCTGGCGCGGGTGATGGCTTCACTTGGTCTGCATTAGAGTAGAGACCTGCAGGAGGTCAGGAAAGGGCCGTGTGGATAAATGGTGGGAGTATGTTCCAAATGGAGGGAGTTGCAGTGCAAAGATCCTGTGGCATGGTCAAGGTTGGGCCCCAGGAACTGGGAGGAGGAAGTGCAGCTGGAGTGGAAGAAACTGGAAAGACTATGGCAAGCCATGGGTGGCCTTTGAGCTACTTTGAAGCTTGGATCACATTCTAAAATGAGGAACCAAACAGGGTTTGGATGGTGTGATATGGCTGACGGGCTCCTTGTAGCTGCCCAATGGAGGGAGACTGGCAGCAGGTGTCTACCTCAGGTCATTGGTCTCCAGGCCCTCAGATGACAGCACTTGCAGAGAAGTGCCCCTGGAGTGTAAGCACTGGTCAGGACAAGATCGACCATGTCTCAGGATATCCGTGATGTGTGTCCTCAGTTTAGGGCAAGAGCCTCGAGTCCTGACTCCACCATCTGCCCCAAGGCTGCACGCCCATAACCAAGATGCTGGAAGATTCGGTTTCTGGGGAGGCTCTGCTCCTGGCAGGGAAGACAAGGAGGAGCCAGCAGCAAAGGGGGAGATGTCCCTAGAGCAAGTGAGACAAAAATGAGACCATCCTGTGCCAGGAGCTCACCTGGTGTCTCGTGCAACGCAAGGAGGCCCTCGCACCTCAGGGGGATGCACCACCTGCAGGGCAGCAAAGCACACGCGGGGATCCAGGTGTCTCTCTAGAAAGAGGGACGAGACCTGTGGACCAGGGGCTATGATGTGAGCAGACAGAACACAGGAACAGACACGACCAGTGACCACGGGGCAGCAGCAAGCACACTGAGGACTCACCACACACCAGACAGGAATGAGAAGCTGACCTGATGCCTTCACTTAACCTTACAACAACCACAGGCCACAGGTGCTGTCCTGTGTCCCCATTGTCCAGATGGGGAAACTGAGGCCCTGAGAGGGTCACTTGCCCTGCACTGACACGGAATGAGCTCCGATCCTGTGCCAGGCATCACACATGAATGTCTCACAGAGTCCTTCCTGCCACCCTGCCAAGATGTTTTGCTCTTTTGGGGGGTAGGGGGAGCAAAACGAGGGTTTGAACTCAGGGCCTTGTGGGCGCTAGGCAGGCACTCTACCACTTGAGCCACGCCCCCGGCCCTTTCTGCTTCAGTTTGTATTTTAGATAGTGTCTCAAGCTTTTCCTCCAGGACTGTCATCCTTCTACCTCCACCTCCTGACCAGCTGGGATTATCGACATTAACCACTACACACAGTCATTTGTTAAGATGGAGTCTAACTTTTTTCCCCGAGCTGACTTCAAACTTCCATCCTCCCAATCTCTGACTCCCAAGTAACTGGGATTATAAGTATGAGCCAACATGTCCGTCCCTCAAGGAAAATTTTTTCCAATCTCCATTTTACAGATGTGGAAACTGAGGACAGAGAGATCACTTGCCAGTGTCCCACAGCTAGTAGAAATAGTGTGGAGTCTTGATCCCAGTCATCTTGAGATGGACTGTGGAGGAGAGAAGGAAGGGGATCAGCAGAGGGGATAAAGAGGATACTTTTGTGAAAAGCACAGTGAACCCAGCAGAAGGTGTGGCTGGCCAAACTCAGTAGTGACCAGGCCTTCAGGTGGGCAGGGATGGGGTGACTTACAAGATCCCTCCTTAGCTTTGGGATGGACCACGTTGGAGGGAGCCGGACATTGCTGGACTCGCAGGCCAGGCCGCTTGCGGCTCCCGGGCCTGATCGCTGAACTCTGTGCCGTCGGATTTATGATTCCAGGAGCTGTCAGGGAGCATGGTATTTCACCGTGCGCGCTCTGATCTGCTTCCAAGGCGCCCTGCCCAGCTGGCTATAACACAATGCCGGCGTCTTTCATGCTCTTGAGATAACTTAGACACTTAGACAGCTTGAGGAGACGGCTGGGACTCCCTTGCAGCCTCCCCGAGGCCAGTCCAGAGGCAGCACTCAGCCATCCCACTTCAGACCTGCCCAGCCCAGAGGACAAGGACCGGTCAGGAAGCCCATCCAGGCCCAACCACAGTCATTTTTCTGAAGCCAACCTGTCAACCATTTCCCTTCTGCATTCAGCTCTCCAGGAGCCAGTGACAAAAAGCAGTGGGCTTGACCCACAGTGGGCACCAGCTTAATCCAAACAGCTTGTGATAAGTATTTGTCACCAACCTTACTGCCCAGAAATGTACCAAAAGTACCAAATACCATGCCTGTGCTGTGTAGCATAGGGGTGATCCAGAGAGACCTTTATAGCCTTAAATGGCATTTATTATAAAAACAAGAAAAATAATAAGAACTGGCAATCAGAAAGACTGTTGCAGCTGGGCAGTGGTGGCTCATGCCTGTAACCTTAGCTACTTGGGAGGCTGAGATGGAAGATCGAGGTTCGAGGCCAGCCTGGGCAAATCATTCACTAGACGCCCCCCATCTCCAAAATAACCAGAGCAAAAGGCACTGGAGGTATAACTTGAGTGATAAAGGCCCAGTACTGCCAAAGAAGAAAAAAAAAAAAGAGTAGATAATCCTTTGGCATCTATGATCATGGGAGAAGGAAGAGAAATCAGTGGACAGCTTTCAGAATGAAAAGGCAGACATTGCCACAGATCACATAGGAGCTTCAGTTTCTACGTAGTGAAAGGAGGCATCTGGACTGGGTTGGTACTGGTAACTGAGTGCCCACTACTTGCCTGGTAGCACACCTGCAGGCAGATGTGTTGGCCAAGTCTCACAATGTAAAAACCAACACTGCCACCTGAGAGGCCTGTAGCTATGGGGCACACCCAGCACTCAGACCTTGGTTTTTTGTCTCAGTTCTGCCAGGTGCTGGTGGCTCACACCTGTAATCCTAGCTGCTTAGGAAGCAGAGATCAGGAGGATAGAGGTTCGAGGCCAGCCCAGGCAAACAGTTCATGAGACCTATCTTCAAAATACTCAACACAAAAAAGGACTGGTAGAGTGGCTCAAGTGGCAGAGCGACTGCCTAGCAAGCATGAGGCAGCACTGCCAAAAAAGATAGAAGAAGTTGGAATTCATGAATTCGGTGCACAGGCTCTCAAGACGGAACATGTTACGTTGCAGGGTCACCCTGACGAAGTGCCACAGACGGGGACTTAAGCATCATTGTCTCCATGCTGGAAACTAGAAATCCAAGGTCAAGGTTGGCTCCTTCTGAGGGCTTCGAGGGAGAGTCTGTTCCTTGCTCCTTACTCAGCTCCTGGAGGCTCAGGCTGTCCTTGGCTCTCAGATGTATCACTGCCTGCAGATCTGTCCTCATTGTCACGTGGGATGCTCCCCTGTGCAAGTCTGTCTCTGTGTCCAAGTCTCCCCTTTTGAGGGGATGGCAGTCATTCTGGATTAGGGCTCCCCAATGATGTCATGTGATCATTGGCAAAAACCCTATTTTCCAAATAAGGTGACACTTGAGGGCACTGGGGGTCAAGATTCAACATCTTTGGGAAGACACAACTCAACCCATAACAGGCACGTCCTGCCCTTCTCTCTACCTTGTTTTCTTCTCCACAGGATGGGACGGCCATTTCCCTGTTAATTATTAATGGGCTCATAGTCACCGGAGCATCGCAAGCTCGTGTTAAATGTCAGCTTCTAGCCAATGTTCTATCTGTGTCCTCCCCAGGGAGGCAATTAGATTATTTTTTTGAAACAGGGTCTCACTATGTAGCTCAGGCTAGCTTGGAACTCAAGATCCTCCTGCCTCATCCTCCTGAGTGCTGGGATTATAGGTGTGTACTATGACATCTGGCTTTAAATTCATTTTTCAAAAGCAATACCTAAACAGATCCTCATTCTTAAAAAAATGAGAGCCCTTCAATGAACTAAAGCCCCTTGGACCACAGCCAACCCCAGTGCCTTCCATACGGAACTGCTGCTTCCCACAAGGTGGGTGAACCTCTAGACCTTTCTTCTCCCACTTAAGTATTACATGTCCATATAAAATATCCGATATCTAATAGATTGCTATAACTATATGCACGATCTCATAGTGCAGTTTCATTCTTTTTTTTTTTTTTGCAGTACTGGGGTTTGAACTCAGGCCTTATTTCCCTGGGCTGGCTTTGAACCCTGATCCTTCTGATCTCTGCCTCCTGAGTAGCTAGGATGACAGGTGTGAGCTAGCAGTGCCCAGCTGTGATTTCATTCTTTAGCCTGCTTTTTTCACACTGTAACGTGTCCAGGAATCACTTCTGCAAGCTAACATAAAGATTTCGCTCATTTTTCTGAGCTGCTGAGTAAGGGTCTCCTGAATGGATGTCTGATGTTTTACTGCTCTATGCTCAATCCAGGGGACGCAAGGGGTCTCCTTGTGTCGCTCGCTGACAGACAGCCTTGCACGAGATCTTTGCAGCTGTTTTTCTGGGTCAGGAATGGAAATTCTTCCAAGCAGGGTTGGCACTGGGCGGGTCTTCCTGTCTCCGGATCGCATCTATGCCATGGACTCCTTCTGTCAGTCTTCTCCGGCTGGTCCTGCTCAGAGCCCCAGGGTAGTCACACGTGGACCTAGGAGACACCAGAAGTGCCCTGCCATGAAGTAGCTGGCTTCCTCTCCATTCAGATCCCTGCCCCCCATAGCTGGGGTGGGGACAGAGTTAGGGCATCGGATTCTCCTCCCCAAATCGAATCTGGCCCCTGCCCTCTGCAGTGTCCAGCTCCCCTGGTCGCTGCTCAGTGGGTCACGTGATCCGGGTCAGCTGGTGGAGTATGAGGTAGTGTCTAGCGCAGCATCATGGTATTTTATGAAGTCCGAAATGTGATCGCTACTGTCGTCACACTTAGTGCCCCAGCGATCGCCTCGCAGATGAGAAGACCAGAGCCTACCCACATAGCTTTCCTGTGACATCGAGGCGAGCTGTGGAACCCTGCCAGAGACCCGCATGACCCTGCGGGGGCTTCTGAGCCAGAGGAAGGATGGGGGGCTGGGGAGGTGTTTTCCCAGGGCACTGGGGGAAATCTGTTGTTCATTTTGCTTTCTCTGTGTCTGGGTCTGTAAGTCAGCCTTGACTCATTAGCGCTGGTCCTAGAATGCTTCCATCTAGAAAGGATGCTGGGACCAGAGATCCCAGACTCAGGGGCCAAGCAAGCAGATACCGGCTGGAAAGTGAAGCCACCCTTGCAGCGACTGGGGAGCTGCACGGGGTGCCAGGCCAGGCGCACCCCGGCTCAGCTGCAGCTGTTGGTGGGATGTAAGTTTGCAGGCTTGGTGACTTGGCACTGCGCGATGCGGGGATGAGCTTATGCTTGGCTGTTGTTGAAAACCGTATTCTGCAACACTGGGCGGGCTCAGCGATGTGTCCAGGCCAATTTTCATGACACATGAAGCCCAGTTCCTTTGTCCCTCTAGAGCAGCGCTGTCCATGCAGCTTCCTGTGATGGAAGCACACACCACAGGGCCCTTGAAATGGGACTAAGTAAGGAAAGGATACAGAGAGGCTTGTCACCAGATGACTGAGTGGCTGGCGTGGGGCAGTGCTGGCATAGGACAAGCGATCACTCAGTGGTGCTCACAGATGGTGGGGTGCAGAAGGACGTCACCACGGGGTAGAGGAGGAGGCATTCTGAGCGAAGGAGACAGCTGAGCAAAGCGAAGGTGGCCACCTTATGACCAGGGTGACTTGTCCTGAGGGGCTGGGGAGTCCCATCCCCTTTTACTTTTAAACTGTCTCAGACGAGAGGATAAGCTACGTGATAGCCCTCCTTACGGCCACCTGCTCATTTACAAAGAAACCAAAGAGAAAGCAGGGACAGGACCTAACCCGAGACCTCTGACCTTTAGAGGAGGAGAAGGGAAACCCAGACTAGACCAGACCCCAAGACTGCTGGCCCCATCCAGCGCTCATCCCACCCCTCCGCTTCAGGAGTCAGCTCGTAAAGACAGCGCTACGTCAGGCTCACCAGAAACCTTTGTTTTCTCTCGTCAAATCCTCAGGACTGTGATCAGATCCACGTGGATGACGTCTCATCTGACGACAACGGCCAGGATCTAAGGTAGGAATGGGGGCTAAAAATGCCTCTCGGTGGATGGATGGGTTTCCAAGCTCACCTCTCAAAACTCACAGCAAACCCCCGCCCCGGGTCTTCCCATCACCTCCCACCCCTGCCTCTACTTACCTTTCTCTCTGTGGGTGTTTTCTCCTGCTTACAAACTTAACACACTCAAATGGTAAAAACTTCGAACGCCTGACCTCCATTCCTAAAATCACATCATTTAAGAAGTCAGAGTACATTCCTTGCTTGCATTCATGAGGGTGCATTTATTCTTAATATAAAAAGTGATAGACTTGACACTCAGAAAATATTTCTCGATGAGGAAGTGGCGCATCCAGCTTCTAAGGAAATGCTCTAAGACATGGATTCCGGAAACCAGGTACCCAGCCGCCTGAATGAGGCAGCTTTCCAAAGAATGTGCCTGGAATGTCCCCAGCCTGCCCCTGCGGAAACCCCATAAAAATGTAAGCACAGTTAATCTCTGCTTATAAAAATTATCACAATTCCTCTCCTCTAGGCCAGCAAAACTATTTTTAGACCAAATAGTGCTTTGGTTGGAGGCTTGTCGCTGTGACATCACTCGGCACTTGTTTCCAAGGCATCTCCCAGCTTGCTCCAGAACTGAACACCAGAGTGTCTGTCACTGGGTTCTGTGAGTCTTCACAGCCCAGCACAGTTGGAAGTGATGGTGGTCTGAAGGAAATCTGTGTCCCTCTAATGAGCCAACAGAAAGTCCCTTCATCACACTGGCAAGGAGCGACTCAGGCCCTGGTGGAAACAAACTCCAGATCCAGGTTAACTGTGTCATTTCCATGATATCATTTTGTACCACCCCGTTTCAAGGCCAGGAGTGACCACAGTCACTCTGAGCCCTGCCTTATGCCAGCTAAGGGATTACTCACTTCCAACATCCACAGTGCAACGATGATCCACACTACAAACCGCACTCCCACCTGCCCGCCCTTGGGTGTCTACCATCTGCTAGGCACCATGCAGCTGCTACTCCTGCCTTTGGGGTTTTTCGTTGTTTGGGGCTTTTGTTTGATTTGGTTTGGTTCTTTGAGGTAAGAACTGACCTCATGGAGCCCTCCTTTAGGCCATGCCCTGCCCCAGTGCTCTGCCCAGGTGACCCCCCACCACCACCTTTCCGGAGGTGATAGACGCTCTTACCACAGCTCCATTTCACAGTTGGGGAGTGTGAAGCCAGAGAGAGCAAGCAGCCCACCCCAGCTCACGTGGGAAAAGCAGGATTCAAATCCAGGCAGCCTGGCTCTAGGACCCAACTCTTTCCAGACCCTCTGTGATCCAGGCATACCTCCCTGCCCTCCAGAAGAGCCTCTGTCTCTTGATCAAACATCAGTCATCTCCCTCCAGGGAAAGTCAGTTTTGCTTCCTACCTTTTCTACCCCCCTCCCTTTCTTTTCTTTTCCTTTCTTTGCTTTGCTTTTCTGAGGCAGGGTCTCATTATGTAGCCCAAGCTGGCCTAAAACTCTTGATACTCCTGCCTCAGCCTCCTGAGTACTGAGATTACAGGTGTGCACCACTGCTCGTGGCAGTGTTTTCTCTTTCAAGAATAAATTCTAACAAGATGAGAACCTTTACACTAGTCAGGAGGGGCCGTGACACTTAAGAGTGTGGGTTCTAGGACTAAGGTTATGGCTTAGTGGAGAGCACTTGCCTGGCATGTGAGAGATCCTGGTTTGATACCCAGCCCTGCAAAAGAAGAGAAGAGGGAAGGGAAAGAATGTGCTAGCCTGGACACAAGAGGCTCACAACTGTAATCCCAGCTACTCAGGAGGCAGAGAGCCGGAAGATCTTGGTTTGATTTGCCCCCTGGGCAAATAGTTTGAGAGACCCTATTTCAAAAGAACCCATCACAAAAAAAGGGCTGGTGGAGTAGCTCAAGGTGTAGGCCCTGAGTTCAAACCCCAGTACTGCAAAAAATAAGAAAGAAAAGATGTGCTTGGAAAGTGCCCAGCACAGAGTCCTTGGAAGACTGCTGTCTGTATGGCTGACACCTTCTGCTACCTGGATGTATCGCAAATGTCTTTGGCCCCTGGCACCACCACCCAGAACAAGCTGACAGACGAAGACCCAGCACGTCTGTGTAATAACCATGGCATCTCTTTTGGGGAAAAGAAGTTTCTGGGCAAACGAGTTCCTGGAACAGTCATCTCATCTTCTCTGGGGGTCTTTTAAATGCGGGGTGATTCAGGAAAGGGCGGGGAAGATGTAGTCCTCAGGTCCCCTTGCTTCTGTTTAATGTACTCCCACTCACGCAGACACCTGTGAAAAGTGACAGTGGCTGTCCTCCCCACCCGGCTCACACGGTCCTGGACTCCGTCCTGCTGCACGCACACATCCCACACATCCACCCCGCTGTTCCTCTGGGAGACAAGGCCAGGGTTGCGATTTCCGCCACTGGGAACCTCAGGCACCCATGCTCCCCCTCCAGAAGGGTGCCACCTCCCCCAGGTGTCCTGCTTTCACCTGCGTGGTGGTATTCTCACCCTAAGCTGGGTCCTGCACTTTTGGGAGCTTCTTCATGCAGGCTTTGTTCACCCTCCTCCTTTAGCTTGCCAAAGCAAACCACAGTTAACACCCTGGAAGGGCACGGGCAGCAGAAAGGGCCAAAGGCAAGGTCAAGGGAGGTCCGGACTACTTCTCGTCTTCCTGATTCCCAGAACACTGAAAAATGGAGGAAGGACCAAATCAAGTCAGAATAAAATTAATGAGGGTTCCCACACAAATACCAGTCGATGAAACCACACTCTGCTAGTCTTACAGTAGTTGAGGTTTACAGAAGGCCCTGTGTCACTCACAATCCACAGACATCTATTTGGCTTGAAGAAATGGGCTGGCAGAGTGGCTCATGTGGCAAAGCACCTCTGCAGCAAGTGTGAGAACCTGAGTTCAAATCCCAGTACTATCAGGAAGGAAGATTCCAAACTGGGCATGGTGGTGCACACCTCGTGATACCAGCCCTCAGATGGCAGAAGCAGGAATACCATGAGTTTGAGGCCCGCCTAGCTTACACAGCAAGACTCTGTCTCAAAGAACAAAGGCAATGTATCCCTAGTGCTGGCAAAAGATCGGAAGTGCTAGCCAGGTGCCGGTGCTCACACCTGTAATCCTAGCTACTCAGGAGGCAGAGATCAGGAGGATTGAGGTTCAAAGCCAGCCCTTGGCACATAGTTCTTGAGACCCTATCTCAAAAAAAAAACCATCACAAAAAAGGCTGGTAGAGTGGCGCAAGTGGTCGAGCACCTTCCTAGCAAGCGTGAGGCCCTGAGTTCAAACCCCATTCCCACCAAATCTGCAATATAATTGTGCTGGTCCAAAATAATTAGTGATTTGTGTCTATACACACAGAGATGTGTGCATAGGTACATATGTGTGTACACAAGTACACAGAAGCCCTCACTCATATACACAAGACACATAGGAGGACGTGTGCACATGCATGTATACATATTCACGCTCTTGCACGTGTAGAAATATGTGCATACATTCACACATATACATGTACGGGCTCGTGCAAGTGTGTGTACACACGTGCTTACACAGAATATACGTTTATTTGCACATACACAGATCCACGCATGCATCCAACTGTGTGGCATATACACCAGTGTGTACAGATGCAGACGCACGCGCGTTCCCTCAACACCAGGCCTTGCGATGCAGAAATAGGCAAGGTTGCGGTGGCGCCTGTGGACCACTCGTGCCATTTCCCCGTGACCGGGAGCCCCAGGGAATATGCTGCTGTGTGTGACATCGCCCTGTTCTGCCTGAACCCCGCTGCAGAAGAGCAGGTGACAGGCAGCGTGTCGCACTGCACCATGTCCTGGGGCTCCACACCCTCAAGGACCCTGCTTCTGGGCCACCACAGTCATTCCACCCAGGGACTCAGGCACAATTCCCAGCTATTACTCATCCCTACCACTTCTCTCTTCTAAACAAGAAAATTCTTTCTTTTCTGTTCTTAAAGTCATTACGGAAAATGCAGAAACAACCAAATAGTCAAAAGGGGAAAAAAAATCAGTCCAGCTCACACCCTGACAGCCACACGCCACCACTCTTCTTCCCCAAAGAGACCTGTGTTTGTCCTAAGAGGCTTTGGTCGGTGCTGCGACACACATGGCACCCTGGCTTTCCTAGTGATGTATCGTCAGCACGCCAGACCAGAGCTTGTGACAGAAGAAAGAGAAGGGCACCATCTGCAGAGCGGTCCCCTCCCTATTCTCCCCCCCACCCCGTGCCTCCCAGCTGCCATTGTGTCGTTAACTTTGTGTCACTTCTGAAACGTCCACATGCAGAACATCTTATCCTGACATGCTCTTCCAGAGTCAAGGTGACATCCACAAAGCACCTCTGGCTAACTTAAAAAACTTAAATAGATGCGATGATCAGAAGGATCACAGCTTGAAGCCAGCCCAACAAATAGTTCGTGAGGAATAAGCAGAGCAAAATGGACTGGAGGAGTGGCTCAAGCAGTAGAGCGCCTGCTTAGCAAGCTCAAAGCCCTGAGTTCAAACCTCATCCCACCAAAAAATAAATAAAAATAAAATTAAAATAGGGACGAAGTTGCTCAGAGAATGGAAGAAGGTAAGCACACAGGCCTTAGAAGGGGTCAGGACAGATTTGGGGATCCAAGGAGCAGGATTCACTGACATTTTCTTCTGGACACTTCTGTCAGTGGACCGGCTACAGCCATGTTGGGGAAATTCCCTTTGAACTTTGACCTCAAAGGCCAGGGCGGGATATTTCCCTGAGCTTAGCCACCATGACCAGGGGTAGCAATGGGTCTCCCGAGGAATTTAGGGGTGCTGTTTGATATCAGAAGACAGGAATGCAGGTGCTTCTTAGGCCAGGGCAAAGGACATGCCCATGTGTTAATCAGAGTTGGGGAACTGGCCCTGACTCTGGCTTTGGCTCTGGGGGCTGACAGAGGAGGCCCGGCCACCCGTCCCAATCTGCCAGTTAAAGTGGTGAAGGACAGAGAAAGGAGATTCAATCAAAAACACGCACCAGAAGGAAGAGATGGCAGCCCTGTTCAGTGAGCCCCGAGTCCATGTTCGAGTAGACACGATCTCCAGGTTGTGCGGGGAAGGGCCAGGAAGCGTGCACGGTGAACCAGTCTCGGTCAAACTTGATCACCTTGTCAGGATTGGCCGGGCGGGGCCTGGCCGTAAGAAGCCATTGCTCCCCGGGAGCGGCTTCCACTCTTGTCACGGGACATTTAGCAATCAGTCCTGTCCTCCCTGGAGTCCAGGATGGCCAAGGACAGAATGGCTCGGAGCAAAGGAGACAGATGCAGAATGAAGGCAGGGACGCCAGGCTTTGTCCTTTTAGTCACCTGGGCCCAGGTGAGGCTCAGCACTTGCAGCAAAAGCAGTTTGTAAGGACCTGTTCTTCCTCTTGCAGCTCTGCAAAAGCTGGGTTCTTGCTCCTCCCCGGGGCACACGCCGGGCACCCTGTGCGCACCCGGGGTGCGGGTGGACGGGCCTGGGTCTCCCACACTAATGCCGCCCCTGCCGTCTCCCCAGCACCTACAACTTCTCCACCGACGGCTTCCACAGCGGGGCACCGGGGACCGGCCTGTGCCTGGGCGCAGGTGTGCATGGCGGCGTGGACTGGATGAGGAAGCTGGCCTTCCGCTACAGGCGCGTGAAGGAGATGTACAACACCTACCGCAACAACGTGGGCGGTGAGTGACATCGTGGGGACGGGACCACGGGACCCTAGGTCGCCCCTGCCCTGAGGCACGAGGCTCCAGAGTTGCACACCAGCCCGGGCTACGGTAGCAAAGGTCTCATGCTGGGCGCTGGTGGCTCACCCTGTAATCCTAGCTACTTGGGAGGCAGAGATCAGGAGGATCAGGGTTCGAGGCCAGCCCTGGCAAGTAGTGAGAACGTCATCTCCAAAATAACGAGCACAAAATGGACTGGAGGTGTGCCTCAAGTGGTAGAGTGCCTGCTTTGCCAGCGTGAATCCCTGAGTTCAAATCCCACCCACACAAAAAAACCCTTTCCCCTCAAAATGAAAACAAATGCATGACCCAAGCCCCACCCCAAGCAACTGCCTGGGGTTCCGCCGGTGGAGGCACAGAAGTGGCAGAAGTCTCTGGCTTGCAAGCTTGGCTCATGGTGGCATCACATGGCAGGTTTCCATGGTCCGGCTGCAACCTGGGCGTGGACACTCAGTCCCCAGGGATCCTCACGCCCCGCCCGCCATGAGAACTGCCAGCCTGGGGCCAGGGCAGCCTCCATTTATCACCCCGGACATGATGCCTGGAAGGGGCGAGAGGCAGGGCCGGCCGGGCAGTGGCCGCGCCCCAGGTCACTACTTCTGAATTCTCTACGCATGAGAGGTGGCGCTGCCCCCACCATGGCAGGCTTTTGGGGGTCTCCTTGATTGTCACCTGCTACCAGGCCACCAGGAAAGGGGCAGAGCGGTGCTGAGTGTCTGCCAAGCGCTCCTTGGCCCCAGAGCTCCTGGAGCTCCTCGCTCTCTTCCAGACCTGGGGACATACGGTTCTCACTCTGGACGGACCTGCCTCCCATCCTGTCCCCCCACTGTCTAGCTGTGTGACCTGAGGCCACCCACACGACCGCGCTGAGCCTCTAGGTCTACTAACAGCAGTTAAAATAATTCTCCTTTCCCAAGAGACGGGGCGGTTTACTGTGCAGGCGCGACTGTGCCTGGTATACAGCAGGCACTCAGGAGATGGGAGTAGCTCCTTTAGGTTTTGCACGGGGGTCTTTTGGGGTCTCTGGCTAGCACATTTGTCCATTTTACCTGGGCTGCGGTCCCGATGCTGCCACACACAGGGAGCACTGCTGGCAGCGCTGATGCTCCTGTCGCTTCCTGGATACGGGCTCTGTCGTGAGGGCTGTCCACGGTCACAGTGCTCTTAGTCTTCATTTGGAGGACAAATGCCCTTGGCCTTCGTTGTTTACAAAAGCAGAAACTGAGATCAGAGAGTCTAAGTAACCTGTCCAGCATCACACAGCCCAGGCAGGAGAGCCAGGCAGGGCAGCATCGCCCTGGCCCTCAAGGCTGTGCTCAGTGGCCTCCAGAGGCACGTCTGTGGACTTCAGGAGTGACACACCAGTCTCAGAACAGGCTGGCCCTCCATGGTGCCCACACCTACCCGGAGCAAAGAGGGACAGGTGTACGTGGGTAGTGACCAGGGATGGAGTGGACCCCTGCTCGCATTGGCCAAGTCCCAGGATGTGCCAGGGCTGACTGGCTGCTCTGCCTTCCACCAGTCAACGGCAAATTGCCAAGGTCGACATTGAGGAGCCCAAGTGGACAGGATGCCCACTCCCCAGCTGTTTCTGCATCGTAGAAGTAGCTGGCTGCAGGGCTGTGACCAGGGGGTCCCTACAGCCCAGGACCCCAAGGTTCTGGAAGGCGTGCTGGGAAGAGGGACATCTGCAAATCAGGAGAAACTGAGACAGAAAGGCAGAGAGAGGGCTTAGCGAATAGCCCAGAGGCCCCAGCTGGATTCAGAGGCCTTCACCTGATCCCAGGTGTTCCTCAACCACTTCCTGTGTGACCCTAGGTGGGTTACTAGACAGACCTCCCTGGGCCCATTCCCGCATGTATAAATAGGGCTGATGATGCTGCCAACTCATAGGATTCGTACCAGTGTACCGAGACCTCACAGGGAAGGTGGAACCCACACTGCCCTTCTATCTCTTTGCCCTCTTGTTGCTCTACCATGCCCAGACTATGACTCCTACCTCATGGCCCATAGTGGCTGCTCATGCTCCAGCCATCATATCAGAGCCAGCAGGAAGGGAGGAGGAAGAAAATAAGTATAGGCCTCTTCTCTTTTCAGACATGTTCTAATGGTCACACACCACACTTCCACTGGTCACGGGCCAAAATCTTAGTCCCATGACCACCCCGGCTGTGATGGAGGCTCTGGGACGCAGCCTTTGTCCAGCAGTCATGCCCACACTTAATAATCACTGACAAGAAGTGGCCACCACAAATGCAAATGAAAATCCAGAGAACAAAGGAGTCTGGTGCCTTTCAGAAAGACAGGGGAGGCCAGTGCAGCTGGACACGGGGCACCTGGCGGGGACCAGGATGGAGGGGCATCAGGTCACTGGGCCTTGTGGGCCTCCGGGAGGCATTTGGCCAGCGTTGAACACGGGGTCTGCACAGCACAGGCACAGGGCAGCTTTTGTCCCAGTGAATTCATTTTCCCCTCAGCACAGCCTGGGCACTGAGCCCACGCCCGCCCTGGAACAGAAGGGCAGTGGACGAGAGAGCTAAGGGGGCAGGACCGTCCCGTGGGTCTGGACTTTATCTTCACATGTATGCGTGCGTGGATGGCCACAGGGTGGATGGGTTGGGCGGGTAGCAGGGCGGGTGACCCCAGAATAAAATAAACAGTAGATCGAAGTTGACGCTGGGTAACTCTGATCTCTCAGGGTACCCTAGTTAGACTCCTCTCCCTAAGTCTGTCCCCCAGACCTTTCTTTTTTTTCTTTTTTAGCTGGGGTTGGGGGAACGACTGGGGTTTGAACTCAGGGCTTTGCACTTGCAAAGCAGACTCTACTGCTTGAGCCACACGTCCAGTTCATTTTGCCCTGGTTATTTTGGAAATGGATTATTTTGGTCATTGTCCCAGGTTGGCCTTGGACTGTGATCCTCCTGATCTCAGCCTCCCGAATAGCAGGGTTTACAAGCGTGAGCCACCGCACAGGTCCCCAGCCCTTTCTTACTGACGGTTGCACCTTTGTTTCCTGTGTCCGCAGGCTTGATAGGCACCCCCAAAAGAGAGACGTGGCTACAGTTGCGGGCTGAGCTGGAGGCTCTGACAGACCTGTGGCTCACGCACTCCTTGAAGGCCCTGACCCTCATCAACTCACGGCAAGTGGACCCCCGATCCCTCCCTGCACTCTCCACGTCTACCAAAGCCTACCCACGCCAGGTGCCCATCAAAGAGCCGTGGAGACTTCTGCGGGCCCAGCAGGATTCCAGGTTTCTGGACTCTCAAAAGATCAGAACTGGCGTGTGCCCGCCCATTTACCCCAGTCCTCACCTCTCCCTGCTGTCCTCCACTTCCTCATCACTCATTTCCATTTCCTGGAGCCACAGCTAGTGAGGTGTGTGGCTGGTGCAATGCACTCCTGCTGCCTCATAAAACAAGAACGATGACCACGGTGCCTTCCCAGACTGGCACTTCCAGCTTCAAGGAGGAACAGCTGTGGATCTCGGGATCCCACCCCACCTGAAGATGGCCCAGCCAGAACCCCCCAGCCCAACCGGAATTCCCACCCGCTCCAGGCTCCTGCTACACGGTGGAAATGGTACCACTGGGTCTGATCCTCCTTCTGTTTGTCCTCAGGCCCAACTGTGTCAACGTGCTGGTCACCACCACACAACTGATCCCCGCCCTGGCCAAGGTCCTGCTGTACGGCCTGGGCTCCGTGTTCCCCATCGAGAATATCTACAGTGCCACCAAGACAGGTGGGGAGAGGCCGGGCCGGGGCGGGCAGGGGGGAGGAGAGGGACCACATTCCTTCCAGTAAGGAAAATGTCACCCGGCGTGACTCAGAACCCCAAACATCCCTCACAAGCAGGGCGTAAGTGGCCGGGATTGGACAATCAGAACAGCACTGCCTCGAACCGAGTCACAGAGGAGGCAGCACTGCTTACAGCCCACTACCCGGCTTTCTTCTCACGTGGGGGAACTGGCTTTTTATTCTTATGTCACCTGCGAATGTACGAGAATACACAGAAGTCCAGTGAGCCGAGGTTTTTAATTTAAAATGTTCGCCTCTGTCTTTTTCTGGAGCAAAAAGAAACAACTCGGTTCGTAGTCACTTGGAAGCGTTTGCTTAGAGCCGTTGTTGCCGGGCCTGGACCCGGGCCTGAGGGTGATGAAAGATGACAACTGTCACAAGTCAGGCAGCCTTGAGAGCTTTCTCTCTTCTTCCTGCGTGCCTCTGGTTGGGCGCCTTGAGAGCCTCTTTCCTTTTAGGAACTTTTTATTGATTGATTGACTTTTGGCAGGACTGGAGTTTGAACTCAGGGCCTCACCCTTGCCAGGCAGGCGCTCTACCACTCCAGCCACTCGGCCAGCCCTTTGTTTTTTGTTTTTGAGACAGGGTCTCGCTCTCCTTGCCCAGGTAGGCTTCAAATTCCAGATCCTCCTGCTTCTGCTTCCAGAGTAGCTGGGATTACAGGCATGTACCACAGTGCCAGGCTTCTTTTATATTTTTTAATTTTGGTAAAATAAACAATATAAAAATGTTTGCCTTTGAAAAAAAAAAAAAAAACGCAGGGCCTTATGTGCGTGTAAGCCCCATTCTTTTTATTGCTTGGTTAGTTGGTTGGATTTGGGGAGAGGGGTTAGTTTGGGGACTTGGTTTGGTTTGGGGGGTTGGGGCCTTGCATTTGAGTCCTGTGACACTTGAGCCACACCCTCAGCCCTTTGGGGGAGTTTTAGTTTGGGGTTTGTGCAGCTGGGGGAGGAGCCCAGGGCCTCGCACCCACCCTTACGTGTGCACTGTGGTGGCACCGCATCCATTTTCACTTTCATTGAGGACTGAGAGGCTGGGTGCTGGCCTGGGTCCTCACCAGCCCTGGTCCCCTCCCGTCCCTCGCTCTGTGCAGGGAAGGAGAGCTGCTTTGAGAGGATCATGCAGCGGTTCGGCCGCAAGGCTGTGTACATCGTGATCGGCGATGGCGCAGAAGAGGAGCAAGGAGCCAAGAAGGTACTGTGTGGGCGCCGCGCCTGGGGCTCCAGGATGGCTTCTTGAGGGGCCGGGCGGGCCACGTGCAAGCACCCCGTCTCCTGTGCTCCCTGCCACCTCCCAGTTAATCAAGTCGGCATTAAGTTAATGAAAAAGAAAATCCCTCATCTGTGATCCCTGCCTGCCAGCCTGGGCCACGCAGGGACTCTGGTGGCCTCAGCTCTGTTCTTGGAAAAGAAACAGCTGCCCACGTCCAAGGTCTGGATCTGTCAACAGCGCCCCTGAGAGCTGCCACCCCCCACGCCAGGCCTGGGAAGCCCATGGTTAATGTCACAGAGCTTAATTCAGGGACCTGGTTTTCCCTCCCCTCCCTGGCAACAAATCCCAAGGAAATGCAAAAAGCCCAGAAAGAAACTCCCCGGGGCGCCGAGGGTCTGCAGGGGGGGAGCAGGGGATGCATGGCTGTTCCCCCACCTGGCCTGGAAAGCCCCCCACTCCACCTTCCTGCTAAGTGGCCTAAGCTGCCTATCTGCTTTCTCCGGGGCCTTGTCCCCTCTTGTAACAGAGCAAAGACTTGTGTGAAGGTTGCTTAATCACAGCCACTCCAGCCAGAGTGGGAAGCCTGTTAGGCTGAGCACCAACTGTGTGCCAGCCGCTGTTCTAGGTGCTGGGGATCCGGCAGTGAGCAGAACAGATGCAGCCCGGCCACTTAGCCAGCTGGCTGCCTGGGACAAAGAAGTGTAAAGTGGCAGCAAGAGCTTGGGAGAAAAATGAAGCAGGGAATGGGAACAAGGAGGGAGGTGACATCTGAAAAGAGGAGGAGACCGGGAGCCCAGTGGCTATCAGAGGGAGAGCAGGGCTGTGCCGTTTTCCTCCTGCCCACCAGGAAGGCTTGATGATGGCCTCAAATCGAGTCCGTTCTGAGCAGGGAGTGGGCCCTGGGGGACAGAGGTCAAGGGTGGTTTTGCCCCGCGTGCACAGCTTGGCGGGTGGCGGGTGACGGTGACAGTGGCTTTCTCCTTGCAGCACAACATGCCTTTCTGGAGGATCTCCTGCCACGCTGACCTGGAGGCGCTGCGCCACGCACTGGAGCTGGAGTACCTATAGCAGCATGGCGGGGTGTCGTCCCCTGCTGTCCCCGCACAGCCCTGACGCTGGCCACCAGGCAGGGTCCCGCGCCCAGGGGACCGTCCAGGCCCTCTCAGAAGTGCCCCTTCAGCCCGAGCCAGTGTCCCGAGGAGCGCGGTGGCCGGCCTGGGCTCCAGAAGGTCCCTGTGGACCAGGGCCAGGCGTCCAGCCCCTTCCCAGGGCCCAGCAAAGCAAGCGGGGTGGGGCTGGCCAGCTGGGGACGAGGACAGAACGACTCCTTTTCCTTTCTAATTTATGGACTGGGCATTGGCGCTGGCCCTGTGTCATCGGTTTTCTCAGTTGTCCCTTGGGGTTGGGTTTGTACCTGGCGCAGAGGTTCACAGTGCTGATTGACTAAAGCAAGCTCTCCGCGCTGGCCTTTGGGGACAATCGCTCTTTGGACATGGGGGGAGGCCCGGGGGGCTGTGGGGAGACTGCTGTGTACCTTCATTTTCCGTCCCCTCCCTGACGTCACGTGGACAGTGCCCGTGCCTTATGCTGCCAGCTTGTTTTCTAAGAAGAGGGGACGCTGGCCAGGAAGTAGCCCTTTGTGATGCAGGAATGCGTTAAATGAAAGCCGCTTGATTCACACTCTTCGGGCCTCCACGTGTGCTGGTCTTTTTCAGCGACAAAAAATAAAACCCAACATGAACTGGCTGAAACTGAGAGGGGGCAGAGGGGCTGCGCGGCGTTGGGCGGGGGTCGGGGCGGCCGTGGTTGAACGACTGGGAAAGCAGGTGGCTTCTTGGGGGTTGGGAGATGGATGAGCGACGGTGACTGGTGGCAGATGGTGGCGTGGGGTGAACGCATGGATGGTGGGATGGATGACCGAGGGCTGCATGGACTGAACGAGTGGTGGGCGGTCGTGTGGGTGAGATTGGTTAGAAATGTGGCAGATGGTTAAGAGTGAATGAGCAGACGAGTGACAAGGTAGATGAGCGAGCGGAATGACTGATGGTTGGATGGACAGACGTGAGAATGGGTTCAGGTTACATGGATGGCTAGCTGAAGGGAATGAAATGATGAGTGAGGGGACAGTGACATGGAGTTAAAGTTTGAGCGTTTGATGACAAGTGTGACAATTGACAGATAGTGACATGGAGGTGGTGTGTGGGGGTTGGATGGATGGACAGGGTCATGGCGCTGAGTCTACTGTGGTGACTCTGTTAGTTCTCATAGAGGTCTTCTAGCTCTCCCCAGGATGCTTCTCAAATGGAGCAGACCCACCTGGGGATCATGACATGGGTGTCCTGGGGCCCTGTCACTTCCACACATGCATCTGTCCTTCCCTTCCTCCTTGACACTCCCAGATTTACTGTTGGTGAAAATTTTGTTTAGAGTCAAACAAAGAATAAATGACTTACAGAGAAGAATTTTTCTGTTCATCGGCTTCCACTGTAAACACGAGTAGAGCGTTAACCACGCACGCAGGAAGACGTTAGGGGATGGCCGGACCGTCTTCCCCTTAGCCCTGAAGTTAAGCTGCAGAGGTAGCCAGCGGCTTTGCTGTTTTGATGAAATAACAAAGCTGGTTCCCACAGAAGCTATGGCCCCCAGTCTCCAAGGTAAGCATTTCAGTGTGAAGTCTGGATGGCTCAGAGCTGCTGGGAGCAAGCACGGTGTCTTCCTCATCTCCGTGTACACGGCGCCCCTCAGAGAGCCTGTATATGAATGCTGGAGGCATGGATGGCGGATGGGTGGCGGGTGGATGGGTGAGTGAATGGATGGATGAGTGGGTGGATGGATGGGTGGGTGGATGGATTAATGGATGGATGGATGGATGGGTGGATGGATTAATGGATGGATGGATGGGTGAATGGATTAATGGATGGATGGATGGGTGGGTGGATGGATTAATGGATGGATGGATGGGTGGGTGGATGGATTAATGGATGGATGGATGGATGGAGGATGGGAGCTGCGTGGGTGGATGGGTGGGTGGATGGATGGGTGGATGGATGATGGATGGGCGGGTGAGTGGATTAATGGATGGATGGGTGGATGGATGGATGGTGGATGGGAGGTGGGTGGGTGGATGGGTGGGTGGATGGATTAATGGATGGGTGGATGGATGGGTGAATGGATTAATGGATGGATGGATGGATGGTGGATGGGAGGTGGATGGGTGGGTGGATGGGAGGTGGATGGGTGGGTGGATGGGTGGGTGGGTGGATTAATGGATGGACAGATAGAACACTGAGATTCCATGGTCCCAACCTGCCTACTTTTGCTGTTTCCTTAGCAGTGACTGCTACTCTCAGAACATTCTAGAAGCAGAGTAGTTTGACTATGCTGGTGTTGCCTAAAGCTTTTGACCTCTCAGAAGACCAAGCATGACTTCAGGACTTCCTGAGCTGCCCGGCGGAAAAACGAGCCCACAGAAGAGAGGCACCAGAAGTCCCCAGGCCAGCCCTGGACTGAAGGAGTTTGCTCAGTGACGGATTTCAAAGTCAGAGCTCCTGATGGGACTTTTCCATCGCAAATGACGGAACACACAAAACAGAATTCATTGGTTCATTTAACTGAAAAGTTAGGGTATATGGGGCCTCAGACACCCGCAACCCCAATGCAGAATCCAAGGTCTGTCTCTAAAACTCAGTCTCTCTCCGTCCTGAATTGTTCCTCCCCAGTGGCTTCACTCGTGTCCATGATGAACCTTCTTTAGCGTGGAAGCTTGGATGGAAAAATCCCACCAAGACTTTTCTTGGTAAAACATTGCTAGGTCTGAAGAGGATGTTCGCCCAGGAAAGATTGCCAGGGTAGATTTACTACATTAGTGAATAAATACTCTTAGGTTTAAGTATTTTGTTTTCTTCTGAATTTCTAAATTTCTTGCAGCCAAACACACCTCAACTTATACAGCAAATAAGAAATCGTGTTCCTAGTGTTACCATATCATGTGGACTCTGTTAGCTACTCAGAAAGTCGGTCGTTCATGTCACCAACTAGGGCAGGGCATCTGTTCATCAGACCCTCATGGGAAGAGGGGGATCTTGGAGGCCACAGGAAAGACGAGTGGAGCTGGGCACTGGTGGCTCATGCCTGTAATCCTAGCTACTCAGGAGGCAGAGATCAGGATAGTGGTTCGAAGCCAGCCTGGGCAAATACTGCTCAAGACCCTATCTTTAAAAAAACCCATCACAAAAAAGGGCTGGTGGAGTAGCTCGAGTGGTAGAGCACCTAGCTAGCAAGTGTGAGGCCCTGAGTTCAAATCCCGGTCCCACCAAAAAAAAAAAAAGTTGGGGTGTTTGTTCAGGGAAATATTCAGAGTCCATATTGAGTCCTTGGGGTAAAACCCCAAGGATCTTGTTGGGTGAGACTGTAGCTTTTGACTACATAGCATGGTTCTGATTCCCCAGAGCTCGGGGCTGCCTCCTTACCAGCAGTGTGACTTCAGACAGTGCCTGGGGTCTGGAAGGAAGTATTGGGGTGACACAGTGTAGGCTACCTGGAATAATGAAAGGCCATGGACTGGTTGGTCACCAGTAAGGCGCCCAGACAAAGGTGGTGAGAAAGGCCAGAAAAGCATCCTGGAGAGACTAGCTGGAAGTACAAAGGTTCTCCATGACAAAGGAAAGGCAAGAGGTATGGCTGGAGGTCCAGGTCAAGGCCAAGGGCAGAGGGTCCAAGGAAGAGGGCCAGGCCAGATCTGGTGGGAGCTTTGGTTTTTACTGAAGTTTGGATTTTATTCTAAGTCTGGTGGAAAGACGTGGACGGCTCCAGCAGAGCACCGGTGTGGTCAGGTTTACACCCTTCCGCGGGAGGCCAGTCTGGCCCAGGGTTCCTTCATGGATTTGGAAGAGCTGTCTGTGTTTCAGTTCTTTATTTTACAATCAACATAAACTTTATTGCACAAACTCAAGTGCACAGGCCATGTATGATCACCTGTGGGTCCGCAGGGGCCTTGCACGTCCCAGATCAAACAGAAAACTGTCGCAGGCCTCCTTCCCCATCTGTATTCACATCCCACAGCTGCTGGCTGTCATTTGGCCAGATCTAGACCCTCACACATGGGCTCGCACAGAGTGGACACTTTGGTGCCTGCTTTAGTCACTCAAAATGTTTTTGAGGTGCACCCATGGGACTGTCCCTCAAAGGGTCCCTTGAGTCAACAGCCCTGGGCCATTTTCCCACCAGGCTTTGAGCCAACAGCTTGAGTCCAAGGCCAGTGACAGTGCTCACCAGTGACCACCAGAGGGCAGTGTGACTCCACAGCTGGCCAGAGCCACCTACCGGTGCCAGGGAGTGCAACCAAGCAAGATTGCCTTCCTCAGGCTCGGAGTTAAAGGCAAGGTCACCTTCTGCAGCAGCCTCGAGGTCAATGAGGGTTGCAAATGGACACAGGTGACCTGAGAGCAATCAAGCAACCCTGGAGCTGGGGACACTCGTCCCTTCTGCCACCTGATGTGAGCTGCTCCAATTTTTGTTAGGATAATTGTCATGATAGTTTAAATTGTTTGGGAAAAGGCAGGGATTTCGTTTTAAACCCAGAAGCTCCTCCAAGGATGGTGATAATCCAGCTCTGCTCAAGCACCGATTTCTTTAATCGTTTTTAATAGTATATGACATACACGGGGCTTCATTGTGACATTTCTGTACATGGTACAGCAGTTTGGTTCCTCCCTCCATTATACTCCCTCTTCCCACACTCTCCTTTCTAAAATGACTTCGACAAGGTCCAGTGTTCCATATTCATACATGTGTAGAAAATGCCTCATCCATATTCACCCCCCTTTTTATTTACCCACCCCCCCGCTGTTGCCCTCCCCTTAACATGACCTGTTGCCCTCCTGCCCTCATTGTTCAGGGTCTGCCCATTGTGCAGTGGATTTCACCCTGGCGTTTCACCTGTAAATATGTTATAGTTTAATGAGTCTGACCCTCCACTACTGGTCCTCACCTCTCCCCTGCCCTGTACTGTTCCACAGTTCTCAGTGCGTTTCTGTGTCTTGTTCCTGCCAGGTGTGACGTTGTCAGAATTACTCACTTCCCATCACTCTCTTCTGCTTTTCCTC